GTAAGGAAATGTTCCGAGTTCCAGACCAGCTCATTTACAGTTTGAAAAGTCAAGCTCAATTGTTTCAGTTAGTTGTGGCAAAAGTAACAATTGAATTAGCATTTTATGATCTCTTAAAGGGTTCAAGAATCCATTTTTCTACTTTGTACTTTAGCTGTTTGCATAGATTTCATATACACCAGTGATTTCCCCACCCTTGACACAATGAATAACCTGCAAACTTTCAATGCCATTGTCTTATAAGAAATAATTTGCGGGTGTAGCTTGTAGACGAGATTCCATTTGAATTTGGCACCGAATCCCTCAGAGTTTGGTCAATGTCGCCGTTTTCATCATATCACCAAACCTTTGAACACCCTGTCAGGATTTAAGATGCTTTCGTTTAAAATCCTCAAAATGATTCTTTCCAAATATAAGACTTGAAAGAAATGAAGCGTAAGCAGTCGAGCTTCAAAATGCGACGTGAACTTTGGTCTGTTCTAATCACTTTTCTTCAATTGATGTCAAGTACCAGCTCAAATTTTCTATCCGTTTCGCAGCATGGTCCTCGTGTACTCATAGGTAAGCTAACAATTTTGTTTCGTACCGTTTTTAATAAGCAATAGTTCAGAAAAAAACAAAACAGTTTTCGTTGAACCATGATTAACGTCTGTTAAGGAGTTTTAATAATTTATAAATACGTGCTAAAACCGTGGCTTTGTTACGTTTAAAGTGTACTTCCACAAAAAGAACATTAGGTGTTCTTTTTTATAGTTACTTTTATGTTTGGCAGCCACGCCCCTAAATACTCGATTGGTGGAGTGATCGGCTTTGTAAATTGTCTTTATTTATGTCTATTGGTTTGGATTTGCATTTTGGCAGCTTAAAGATTCAGCATTGTGGTCTTGAGACCAAAACAAAAAATCGGAAGCAGTTATTATTTTCTAAGGGAACTAAGGCTTTTAATTTAAACTGATATTTATGGAGACATTTTGTGTCCTCAGCAAAGTCCTACGGCGCTCCCTTAAAATTGACCTGCGAAGATGTTCTCGCGAATAAAATCATTTTAAGCGGTATCTCCCTCTTCAAGATGAAACGAACAGTGGAAGCTAATCACGTGTTCCCTGGAATTTACGCTCAGTCTCAGAGTGAATGCCAACACAGTTTCCGTCTTACGAATAACACACAAGCTGCAGAATGCGAGCTAAGTTTTGTGGGAAGAAAAATTCCTTCTGACGTCATGATAGTCGCAGTATATCAATGCGCGCAAGATGGTGACCCGCGGAGGCAATTGGTTCATACACGTAAGTTGTATGTGATTCAAATATGCCATACATGTTTGTAGGGTGCAGCTCTGTAAAAACTGTACAGAGAGGTTGATAGAGGGTGTGTGAAGGGGGGCACAGGAAGGAGGGGGAGGAATTGGGGAGATGGAAAAACGTTGCAGACACCAACAGTTAGCTTGAAATGATTGGTTCATACTTATCACTTGTACAAGGAGAGTTTTACATAATGTATTAGTCAATCCAGTAGTCAATATACCATTTGCACAGCTCTCATGGATTTCTTTCTTGTTCTGTTTTAAAAATGGGTCCAAGCAAATTTTGAATTTTGAGGTCGGGCCTATTAGTTCTAACTACAGATAGATAACGTCATTAATTATTTTACACCAATTCCAGGAGCTTCCGAATCAGGAGATTTGATCTTAAGATGCGGAATTAACGGAATGATCGACATTCTGGAAATCAAAATGAATAACACTGATTTAAAAGAACAGGAAAGAGAGAGGATCAAGCAACAGTGTGCAATGAAAGCCTTTCAAAATAATCAAGCACCTCAACAGCGTATTGGGCATAAACAAGCCGTGTTCTGCCCTGTGTCGAGACAGGGAAGAGATGGAAAACTGAAAGTGAGGTATCAGTGTCTACCAGCTTTACGAAAGGTCTTGAATCCTGTATTGGTAAACAAAACGAACACTACGGATCTGTAACGAGAAGATTTGCGAGACAATTGAAAAGACAGAGCAAGCATAAGAGACATACACCGAAGATTTTTAAGAAAAGTCTCTAAGCGCGGTGAGAAACGAGTCTATCTTCAAAATCAAACGTTTTTAATGGAGAGAAAGGAGGCTTAGTAAAACTCTCGCACTTCCCAGTTTTCTACATTAGAGAACGAGTTTTCTCTCCATTTTGCGACAATTTAAATTTCCTACGACGCGGTAGTGTTGTATTCTGAGACCGGAATCAAACAAAGAGTATCAGTGCTCAAAAAGAAGAGCAGGGGCTTTACAAAATCTTCTTCCACCTGAGAGAGGGATTCTCTGGCTTTTTATCAAATATGTCTGAACTAAAACAAGCAACTTATTTGAATTAATATTAGTGGGGAACTGTTTGTGATTATATTGAACCTATATGCAATTACTAGCAATTGCAGCCAGGTATACCATCATTCATCTGTTAGGTGTGTGAAATATTGATTGGTCAAATGCATTCAATCGCTTTATTTTTCATTTAAAACAAAGTGACAATCATAGTTTCAAAATGATTAGAAACATTCTTTGCCTTAGGACTATCTTGAGGTGAGGAGAATCATCGGTTATTTCTAAGAAATCGAAACAGGAAAAAAAAGCTCGACTAGTTTCATTTGAAAACTCGAATGTAAAAAATTCAACTTTGGAACTATCTGACGTTGAGAAGTTTGATGATAACGTAACCAGGACCGGCGTTAGAACCAGCTTGGTTAGACTGCTCCTTGCCACTGTTATGCGATCCACCACCTCCCCCACAGGAATTAGATCGGCTTCCACTGGCACCCCCAGAGTAGCCACCACCACCACCACCACCACCGCCGGCTCCGTTTGGTCCGCCGCCGCCACCGAATCCACCTTCTATTTCATTCTGATTGGATCGACCTCCGACACCACCTATGAAATGATTGACATATTTCAGTTATCCGTAGAACCATTTCGTTTAATGATTATTCAATAATGATTAATTGTTATAGCAATAATCATAAATATTTCTGTGGCATGAAGATTTTTCATAGAATTTCATGAAAAGTCTAGTACCAATAAAAATGAAGGGGAATATTTTGGGAGGCTATCAAATCGAGGCTCATCAAGTGCTCTAATACTCCTCTATCCTTATAAGTTCTCTGCAGGGACCTGTAAAGAATCTTTATTTTAGATTTTGAAAATTATCTTTGTCTGCAGCTGTTTCTAGAAAGAGTGTCGGAAAAGAAGGAAAAAAAGTGCACGCGATAGTCTCAAACGGTAATCTGGATGTTTGGTAATCAATAAATTGTGATACGTTGAGTATGTACAAAATTCATTAAACCAGCTTTGCCCCCATAGAGGGACGTTTTTTCAAAGATTTCCCTGAAATCCAGAGGAACAATCACTTTTGGGGTTGGATTGCCTGCAATTTGACCCATTTTTGCCGACAGCCTCTTTAAAAACAGCCATATCAATCTGTTTAAAGGCTTATAACGGTTAACTTGTCCATTACCTTTGTAGAATGATTTTCCTCCTTCACCACCTGTTCCCTTAGCGCCACCGAAGTTTTGGTTTGAGCGTCCGTTAGTCTCAAATCCACCACCACCTCCCCCAGAGTAATTATTGTCGCCTTCTTCCGCTCCCTTCCCTCCAGTGCCTCCCTGGAACTGTGATCCACCATATCCCGCGTTTCCATCGCTAGAGCCTGACCCGTGACACCGCGGGCTCTCACCCTTCATTTTATCGACACCACCACCTCCACCGGCTGGATAGAAAAGAAGAAACCGTCACAACTATGAAATCTAAATGATGCATTATTATCGATACCGCAGTTGTATTTGCAATACTTCTCACATCAGAGCTTTTCCACCTAATTCGTCGCAAGAAACAGTTCTCATTGAACAGAACAGAAGTGTACGGTTAAATAAAAAGGTTTATGTCCCGCAGAATGGGTATGAAAAAATCAATATGGTTGCAGTTTTGTTGTCTTAGTGCAACAAGGCGATGACATGAAAAACGGTTTTTGTCTGTAAATGTGGCTTCCCGTAGCAATCCCTGCAAAATTCAGGGCTTTTTTACACCTGAGATAGATGATATGTTTTGAACTTCCGTGGAGATACCCTAAGGTTTAATTTCAATTTTCCTTAAGATTTCCTATTGCTTTTATCAATAGTTCACTTTCTCAACTTAAACGACTTAAAGTAAAACGTTATTTCTTTTCGGGATTGACTGGTGAATCTCAATAAACAAACCACCAGGCTATGACAAAACAATATGATTGTTAAATAAAACATGAGCTGAGCGCGTTTTGAACTTGGTTAGCTCCTTTGGATTGGCTGCCTGTTCGAAATTATGGAATGATTAACAACTATTCAACAAACAGGAGGTGGCTAATGGTAGATTTGTACCGAGCCTCGAAGCGGCGAGGTAAATATCCACCGCTAACCACTTGCACCGAGGTAAATAGTTTTTACTAGTATATACTAAAACAGTGAGATGATATAGCACAAAAAGATGGCACAAATCCTGTACAGGTTCCTTTGAGATGAATATCAAAGGATATCAGGAACTTGAGTGGCCAATCAAAGTGTGTCTTCAATGCTATCCAATTTTTCAGTATTATGTTTACTAATAAAAATTATCTCTTGCTCACTCACCGATTAAAAGAGGTGTGTTGTCATCAGCAACTACAAAGCTTCCACCGCCTCCCCCTGCTCCTCCAGAAACAGTGTTAACTCCTCCCTCCTGACCAACGAGGACCTTAAGAACATCCCCTCGTTTCAGATGGAAATTTCCCTTAACGCGAGCTCCCTTTCCGCGCTTGCTTGCTGTTGGATTGACACAAAGCTTAGTTAGTCAAGAAGACTCAAGGTTCGGCTCACTAAAACTTTAGTTTATATTCAAGATTTTAAAGCAAACATCTAAGCTTTTGAAGAAAATGAAGATTTGCTGCCTTTAATCGTTGGCACGGGACAAAATTTAAGAAAAAAGTCGCATAGAATAGGGAGAATGGTAGATTCTGATCTTGGTAATGAATGGGAGGGAGAAAGAAATTTTAAAGAATTTTTTTTGGGGGGGGGGAGATCACAGGGGGCAATCAGAAGTCGCAAAAAGATTTTATAGAGGGACTAAAGAATATTGACGGCCAATGAGGGGTTCATTTGAATACTACAAAGCCTTATGGGGGGAATCAGCTCAATTTTATTGTGATACAACCCGAATCCTTCACCCCCTGACAATAAAAAATTATCAGTGTCGTTGTATCATAGGTTAGCTAAAACGAGCAGTTTTCAACCGAGAGTCGAGGTTGGTTGAGGTTCAGGATTTAATCAGTGCCCCGTGATTAGTGAAAGAACCTAGCACAAAGTACACCAGTCTCTGGACATTTCATTTCTCCATTTCATTTCTTGCTTCTTTCATTTCTTTTGACCCCCGATTTTTCGTCCCCTCCGGAGTTGAAATTTTTTTCGTAGTCTCCTGGCTGAGAGAGTCGTTTTTCATGACATCTGTTAAGTAAGATAGAGGTAAGGGAAAATTCCCTAGTATGGCTGCCTTACTGAGGCGTACACCATTAGGACAGATTATATTGACTTACATGAAGTGAACTTGTCGTGTCCACCAGCAGCTCCTGCAGCTTCAATTGTGTACATTCCGGTGGCTGGGATCTTCCACATCTGGATTCCCTTGTTAACAGTCACTTGTCCCTCGTGATCTTGACCGTGATAGTAATTCCCCACTGATGTGGGACCCAGGCGGCCTGTGGCTCCAAGAGTCGTGAACTTTGCCATAGAAAATACTGTGGAAAATAGTTCAACGTTAATCAAGAGCGGATATTAACTGAACTAATATTAACAAAGCGGCGAACGCCCAGCAGAGTTTAGGGGTCTTGAGGAAAAGGTATGGAATTTTATTGTTTAGTTTCTGGAAGGAGAAGTCTCGCTGTGCTGGAGGTTTGAAATGGTATGAACTAGATGGAGTGCAATGCACATATCACGTGCAAGAAAACTGTTCGTTTTGATGTCAAATTTTACAAATAACTTTAAGAAATTATCTCGGTGTGCTTGATGCAAGCACTATGAGGTCGTCATGCCACGAATGAAAAAAAAAATTTTTTTTTTCTGTCGTCAATACAAACACAAAGAAATCAGGGCTTCAAAACCATGGCAAATTACCCACTCCCAGTGAGCTCTCTTAAAAGGAGGGGATAGAATTCCATAAACTCACCGTTATATCGCTTGTTCACGCTATGTTCAGGGTTGAAAATAACCCACTGAGTGACAAAATTTCTGAAATACTTCTCACAGGAAGCCTCCACATACATCAATGAAGGCATCCGATCGGGTTTGTCTTCCTCTGATGCGATGTGAATCGAGCCTACAAAGACTGGGTAGGGAAATTCGTACGCAATCCACTGCATGCCCGGAGGAGCAGCACCGTTGGAAATCCAAAGGCTCTCGGGATTATTATCGAATGCCATGCTGGGAGCATATCCTGTAATAGTAATCGTAATGCTAAGTTTGAGAACGGTCACTATTTTCATTTCCTTTAAACGCTAGAAAAAAGACCAAATTTACACCCAGCGGAAAAATATAAGAATCCAAGGAAATATAAACTGTTCTCTTGATGGATCCCAATAAACTGCGTGACACAAAATGTGAGTTATACCATTTCACATTACTATGGTGCAAAATCCCGCACTTTTATTGTCCTCTTTAGGAAAAAAAGATAGAATGAAAGGAAGGATAAGAGAAACAACAAACAAAAACTACACCGATAACAAGAAAAAATAATAAAAAAGAAATGTTCAGCACAATTTTGCCTAAAAACTGCCTAGAGTAGTCAGGAATTGTCTTAGTCTCGCAGCCAGACCTTTCACGGCCAAGCAATTAGAGTTACATGGTAGGATCTGGGTACGATATTATAATTGTCCTTTTAAGCAGAAAATCATAAACAAAAAGTCTATCCTTTTTCCTTTCCAACACCACCACCACCACCACCACCACCACCACCACCCAGTTGCCAATTGGTAACTTTTTTTTTTGACAATTTCTCCTAGAGCTGCATCAACAAACACATATTACATCTACTCATCTCTACACACAATACAATAGAGACGTTTGCCGTAGCCTTAAATGATGTCCACTCGACTCACCAGGTCCAAAGTAGCTGCTGGCATAGCCTCTCTTGGGCTCAGCGTTAAGCGCTTTGGTGGACGCTGCGGTGTCGTAAAACTTTATGCCTGATACAACCCACAGGAAAGGTACATCCGCTGCGTTACGTATTCTCCAGTAAGGATAACTGCCGTTAGTGTAAGGACATTTATCAGGACAGAAACCAGACTCCGAGTCACATTCGTGCTTGCCTATTGAGAGAAAGGTAAAAGGTAAAGTGTGCACTCGAACCAAGTTAGTGGCCCACTTAGCCGGAGCCTGTTCCGGTTTCCTTAGCAGGAAGCAATTGGGAGTATCACTACTTGCTTTCAGTGTAATTTGACGAGAAAAACATGGAGAAAGGACAAAAAACATGTTCCTGCATAAAATTCATAGATTTATTTCAAACTAGAGATAGCGGTCCTCGTGAAACCGCACCCGCGAAGTTTTAGATTATTGGCCAAAATAGAAAATATTTTTTTCTCAAAAGACTTACTTTTAGCTAAGAAGTAGAAACATTGAAGCTGCACCCGCGAAGTTTTAGATTATTGGCCAAGATAGAAAATATTTTTTCTTAAAGGACTTACTTTTAGCTAAGAAGAAGAAACGTTAAAAAAAAATTGAAAAAGGGTTGAATCGAGGTAATGTTAATATTGATATACTGCACATTTAAGTGTCATCAAAGACAAAAGACAACTACCTGCTTTTAGAGGAAAGGCGATAAACTATGAATAAGTCATTGAGTAGTTCGGTCGATATTTTCTTGGGATAAGTTTTGCCGACGCGTTTACCGCGTTTATAGCGCTAACTGATAATTACCAGGAAATTTCGAAAATGAAAATAATTTAGATATTGCTGAAATCTGCTTCAACAAGATTTCATGAAAATGTGAAAATGTTCTATGAAAGAGATTCGTTTCAGCCTTAGCGTAAAATTTGACGTATGTACACGTATTACTTGTCATCGAAGTCGTTAGGTAGCGGAGATTTCAACTAAGCAGTAGGCAATTTTGAAGCGAAATCAAATTAAAAAAAAAAAAGCACGTTAGATCATATTTGTGATTTAACTTTTTGACAAACCTGATTACAAAAGTTCGAAAGGCTTTTTTGGACCCAGCTCAAGAAGTGTTTTGCACATTGTATATTTATTCCAGCAAAAGAAAGATAGCTGACCTCAATATTTACAGCATCTACCTCTACCAGGGGTTTTAACGAAAGCAATTTACCGGCGTTCTATCGCCGCCTATAACACCTCTTACCACCGTCTGTTTAGCTTGCGAGCTGGCTCTTGTGTTTTGGTCTCGCCTTTCAGCACAGCTGGCTGTTATATACCCACGGCAGCCGCTCATGGAATAAGTTCAGTATTGAAAAATTTGCATTCGGATTTGAGCCAATTGTTGTTTGCCTGCAGTTTGCCTGCAATAATTCCGAGTAACAGTATAAGCAAGCAGAACGTACCTTCGTTGTATTGCTTGCAGATGGCCACTCTTTTATCTCTGTATTTCTTGTCTGTGTGCCATTCCCAACTAAGACAGTATCCTGGTTTGAATGGTCTGTTCCACGGAGGAATTACGAAATGCGCATAAACGTTAGGGTCTTTTTCAAAGCCAAATTGGCTTCCTTTGTGAAATTGTACCTTAGCACTGCTCTCAGAACCACCAAGTCCCAAAAACCCACTACAAAGACCCAAGAAAGAGCTTAGAATAAGCGCTAAAAAGGTTTGTTTGTCCATGATGGCCTAACAGGATCAGTGAACTGACTGGTTCGTCATCGGGAATGATGTAGTTTTTGCCCTGCGTTACATGCCACGCTGGAAGAACCAAAATCTGTCTGTGATAGGCTGAATTTTGCAAACGTGTAAGATTACTAACTTTGGTTTTGAATTTTAAAACGATTTCATCCTTTTTTCTGCATTTTAACAGCGCTTTGTTGGCACATTTCTTGCACGAAGTTTTAGTCGCTAAGGAACACCTCTGAGCCCGCTGTTTCGCAAGAGACCAAAACTGCGGATGAACGCATGATAACGCGTGCAGAAAGCTTTGAAAGTAGTAGTCGACAAAATAAAATCAGATATGTTGCGGCTTCCTTTTTGCCTTAGGTTACCAAACGAAATTTTTAAGACTTAATTTTCATCTGTCAAAATAAGTACTGCTTACTTTCTTCTTATTCGTAAGATTTCACTTTTAAATTAGATTTCTTCATAGCCGTCCTTAGCCGAATTCGGCTCAGAAAAGCCAATTACAGGCGAAAAACAAATTCAAAGAATATCGTTTAAATGCTAGAGAAAATTATTCGGAAATTCACCTACCGATTATTTACGGGTGATGCAAAGTTGTAGTAAAATTCTCTCTAGTTCTCAAGTGCGTGCGTGATTAACTTTCTTAATTTTTCAATAACTTTTGTTCAACAAAAAATGCTCAATAAGACACGTATCAGCACCTCTTAAGCTAAGAATCTATCGTAGAGCGAACTCTACGGACGCTGTTTCCGCCACAATTTGGAAGAGAAATAGAAAAAAAATATATTTTCAATAGACTTTCTATTGAAAATTGACTCTCATAAGTGACTAACGGGTTTTGCTTTCGTTCACAGCACGAAGTGATTGTGTGACACACGTGTTGGAAATATGTAAATTTTTGGAGGCACGGAAAATTAAAAATTCTTTTGTCATGAAACAAGCTCTGTCCTTAATTATGTCTCTGAGGGCGATTATACCAAGTAACGTAACATGTTGGCATGTTTCTTAGAATAATTTGAGGATAATTTCGTAGTGCAATTTTTAGTCAGTCATGTGATGAGAGAAGGTAACACCAATAAAACAGCAAACGACGCTATAAACGACGTCAAATTTCCTATAAGAAATTACCAGTTGATAACCTTTACGAGAGAGATGTAATACCTAATCTGGCTGTTTTTTTTCCGTCCTTTTCAAAACAGCATGACATATGTCAGGCCGGTTTTTCGATCAGTGAACGAGGCGAAACGGGAGGGAATCAAGAGACAATCACAAAATAGAAGAAAAAGACAATAATAGTAATAACAATAATTATAAACGCATGGGATGCAAGCTGTATGATTAGTTCTAGTAACAAATTCGCTGTTATGTGGATCGCCCATAATACATTTATTTTACATTATTGGTACTTAGCGATGTCAGTTTGCTCTCGGTCATGCCAAATTAGCAATGCGCATTTCTTAATTTTAAGCTACCAAGCCCCCTCCCTTCCCCTTCCAAACTTCTAATGTCTATTTTCGATCACTCCGGTGAGCATTGTTTCCGTTCCGTACCACACGTACTCGGAGGAAAAAGGATACACACATACAAAGAAATCAAAGATTCCACCTGCTGGAGTACCTGGAAGGAGTTGTCTATGATTTAGAGGGCTGGAGCAGTGCTGAGACTTGCATCAAGCTGCTGAAAGTTTTCTTGAAAATATTATATTAACACAATTAACCCCCCTAGGTATGATATTCCCCGCGAAGTTTTCTTATCTTGAGCATTTAGGAAAATTGTAAATGTCAGTACGAAACGAATGGTTCAGTTTACTGCATCCACTGAAATAAGTGAACACAGATTAATCGTTTTGATTTTATTAAGGCAGTTCATTTACAAATGTTAGCCTGCTGTTACGCTGTAGTAAAACAAAACTCTCAGATTTGAAAGGTAAATATATCTTGAAAGGAATATTTTTACAAACTCGCTCTCCTCTCGCGAAAATTTCTAGGTTGAAGGGAACCATAATCTAAAATTTGAGAAAAAGAATCTTTCCACCAGTCTTCCAACTTTATTTTTGTCCAATATCATTTATTTCATCATTTGTCGTTTCAGTGTCCTTTAGTAAAAAAGAAAAATACCACTTATGATAATGAAAAAAATTGGAATGGTATTATTGGTATTTGGTAGATAGAAGTTGATAGGTAATCTCTGCTTGAAGCAAGTGGCCCACTTTCAGCAGCATGAAGCGACTCATGATGAAAGCGATCTTCGCAATCATAAACACTACCTAAGCAGTAGTGAAAATAATGCCTGAGAAAAATTCAGGTCTGTACGGGATTTGAACCCATGACCACTGCGATGCCGGTGCCGCGAAGATCGTTTTATAATCATTTCCTAAACCGCAGCTCGCCTAGATGTGATTTTCATAAATTCACAGTCATCGATTCACAACTTCACGGCCCTATTACAGACCAACATGATAACCAGCTCCCAGTTGGCTTTTTAGCTCAGTTGGTAGAGCACTGCACCGTTATTGCAGAGGTCATGGGTTCAAATCCCGTTGAAGCCTAATGTTTTTTCCAGGACTTATTTTCACTAATGTTTAAGTAGTGTTCATTACTGCGAAGATCGCTCATTTCTTGAACCGCAGTTCACATTTATATGATTTTCATATATGTGTAGTCAGTATTAGACTTCACTAGATGGGAGACAGATAATTCGCCGGTAACCATTTACACTCCTTAGTGGAAAGAGGCCTTTGTAGAAGTAAAATGATTTGCCAAAGAACACAACACACTGGCCTCGTGTTAACTCAGTGCAAAGAAACTGAAATAGCACCACACTTTGCTTCCACGATGTTGGTTTTAACAAAACTTAAAACAGCTGCCCATAGTTCTTAACTCGGTGGCTTACTTGTTCCTCATTTCATGGTTGTAAAAATTCAGTGACGATGAAACCTAGGAGATCTAACGAAATACGTCTGACGCAAGCGCGTAAATGGATGTGGATTATGTAAACTTGTGACCTTCTTGACAAAAACAGGGCCTAAAATTGAGTGGTCACGTTTTAAAAATAGATGCCGCGTAAACAAAACCTATTTAACCCAGATTGTGTTGTTATCCAACTTAAGAAATCTTTGACATGGAAACATACTTTATTTGTATGGGTACGAAACGACGGATCCAATTGTTGACGAACGCTCCTAACTGGTGTGAAACGACAGTTAAGCCCACAAGCTACTCAGTCCTGTGGCTTGACGTATCACTTATCTGAAGGTCTTTATCAGGTTAACCGTCAACCGTCAAATATCTAACTCATTGACCGTCAAAAGAGCAAACGTCACCCGTTCAAAACGCAAACCAATATAATCCGTCAAATCCTTCAGACATTCCTTACGAGCAACTAAAATGGCGTCTGTGTATCGGAAAGAAGCACTGCTGTGGGTCTGTTTTAGATGGCTAAAGCATTGAAAAATGTTTTTTTTCAAAGTATTCCGGGAATTGTGTCTTGCTGAGAAATATCAAAACTTCATTTTTCGTCACGAACTGTTAAGTTCCACTTAGAAAAATTACCTGTTGACCATCAAATGGCCAAAAATTTAGCCGCCAAGAGTCCAAACTGCCTCTCCTTGACCGCCAACCATTAAAGATACTAACCGACTGAGAACCTTTTATTTACTAAATCATCATTTTGTCATCACAGCCTCGTATTACAGGTGAACCATACTTTGTATCCAGCTATCACTTAGACTGCGCGAGACTTGAGCACCACTTCCGGCTAAGCATATAGCGTAGACTTCCGCTTTTCATTTGGACGCTGCTTTGTTTAGGTCGGAGACGCATCAAAACCTCACTGCCGTTCACTGCGTGATGTCAGCAACGACGTTCATCGAAGCGTGTAATAAATTTAACAGGTGTAACAACGTACCAGCCATGTTTTCACCTGTTACATAATAATAACATGTCCACTTAAGCAACAGGTTGTTTACACAGAATGATCAACAGATCAAAGACCATCTCCTAGGCAACGTGCGTCGATAAAGCTGTGTTTTTTTTCTGTCAACAAAATGGAATCACTTCCCTTGATTAGTTAGTGCGCTCAAAGGAAATTTTTTAAGCAAATTGTGCATTTTTTAATTAATTGAGGAAGTTACCCAGACTCCTACTGCCATAACTGCACTTTCAAATAAAAATTAGTAGAACCATAAGTTGTTCAAATCGATCACAGCCATCTCTGAGCTTGTTACCTACATGCAAGAAACTTGAAACTAAAATTTTCTCTTCGTCTCCCATCCTTATCACGCGATCATTGTGCAAAATAAAAAGCGTCTGTTCAAAAATAATACCGGTTTGCTTATTCCTCCTGCATAAGTAACCACAGCGACTCGATTGTTCAGTGGGCTTAAATGGTGCGGTATCAGCTGCGTTCAGCCGAGTGAACACCTATGAACTGTTAGTTTTGGGACCTTTGTTTCTGGCCTTGTGAAGTATATGGACAGCTTATTCACATTTCCGTTCACACGGTTATGGCTCCTTCGTAAACCATAGAATGAGGAACGTTTGAAAGTTTTGTTCCAAAAATTAAAATTTGCTGCGGCCGCTGTTGTCGGAAATTCATGGTAAATGAAAATTGGCCTCTAAAAAAGTATGTGCTCTGAAAATGGACTCTTCTTTAAACTACCGATGGAGGAGACTTTTGACTGATTTAGAGATAAAAGCACGTTTTCTTCCAAAAAATTGAATGAATTCTGCATCAGGAGAAATCAGACAGAACAAGGATATTTTAATGACAAACTCTGATTCCCATGAGTAGAGGTAAAAAGTGTCGATGAAATTAAGAAAGTCGTCAGAATGGGAGTTTCTCGCTTTGAAGGTAATATACCTTGGGATTGTTTCTTTTGTCTCTGTGAATGTAGTTGAATTCAAGTCGATAACACAGCCACATCATCTCTATGGAATGCAGCGTAAATCCTGCTCGCTCTATGCATGCTTGACTCTTCTTGCTTGAGTAAATTGTGCATTCACATGGAAGAGTTACCATGAAGCATCAAACTGAATAATTAGAAAATGCGGTCTTGGAAGAAATAATCTCAAGTTTTTTCAAGAATCCCAATTAGATATTGCTCTAAGGAGCTTTTCGTCTAGGTAGAAGTTGAACAAAGCTGACTTTAGGGGTTAACAACCACACGGAGAGTTAAGTTTGGCGGTACCTTGAGCCAACCAATCACACGCGTTCTGGAACAATCTCCTTTGTTCTTTGTGTCGCCGTGTGTGGGCTGCCCCTGCCCCAAGGTAGTACCACCTGGGAAATCCTCGGTATCTGAAATTCGATGATCCCACATGTATGGGGGCTTTATATAGATTCCCTGGGAATTCGCTCTTTCTGATGCGACTGATAGAGACTGGCTCATTTTATACAGTGACACTTTCAAGGCCAATATTCGTATATATTATTATGTACATGAATGACCGTGACTGTCGTTCGTGTAAAACGTGGTTGATTCGCCTGGAGGCTCAATGAGACTCACTGAAGCGAAGTGCTGTTTTGCAAGTAGTTGAACTGTATCAAATAGCGGCAAAAATCTACCCTGATTATCCTTCCTGGGTGGCAAAATGGGGTCGATAAGTTGTGATTGTTAGGTTTTAGGTTGCAAATAGACTAGTTTTATCTTTCCTTTGGTGGTTAAACGTGAAACACAGGCATACACTGTTTGTAAATGGTAGTTTTTGCTGGTCGTGATCGGCAAAATTATCGGAATTTGAGAATGTAAGCTTACAAAATAAATTGCTTATATTTCAAACAGGTGATTAACTTTTGATCCTATAAAGGGTTGTGCCTCTAACACACGCTGCATTTGAAGTTCCTTCGAGCGCAGCCTCTTCTCTCGATCCGCTAATTTATTTGTTAACGCTAACTTCGTTTGATCGCATCTGGAATCAAACGGCCCCTTACTAACACCTCCCCGGGTGCCATCTTTTTCGATTTCACCCTCCATGCACGAGAAATTTGCTTTGTTGCTGGTCACCAGCCACGAGATTTGAGAGCGAATGCATTAAATTTACATCAAAGCTTTCGTTTCCTTTCAAGATGTCCATTCATGTGTGACTGGTCGTTAACTCACCTCTAGCGCAACTTTAGTCCTAGATTTTAATCTCGTCTCTGCGGAGATGTGCCAAGGAAAGAACGCTTAGAGAGATAATTATGAAGTAAAATCATCTGGACAGTCTGGTAATTCAGTGCGACTTCGCTTGGTTTGCTCGTTTAGGAACTGGAAGTCAAGATTTTTCTTGGTACGTTATTTTCAAAAAAAGGAAAAACTCAAGGAAGTAGGCAAGAGTTGAAAAACAGGATTCGACCCTTCCAAGGTAAGGCGAAATATACTTAGAGTTAATAGACTTATTTCTCATTGCACTAGGCGGAGTAGCTGCAAAAATATTATTGCGGAAATTTCCTAGGGAGGAATTGCGAACCGATAGCTACTTATAATCAGAACGTCCCGTTTGAAATCAACTACACCAGTCCAGGGATAGAAATGAATTTTTCTTGTTATTTAGGGAATAAGAATGAGATACGTTGATGCTATCTTTCGCCAGATTTTTAGAAGAAAAGAGAAATCATTGCATATAATTTGTTGAGATTTGCTTGAAACCCAAGACAGAGATATCTTGATGGGCGCTAGCCAGTATGGCCTTGACAACTCTATCCAACAATCCTTTATGCTCACATATCAACACGGAAAGAATTAACAATATCTAACTTCTCTTGGTATTTATGATCTAATGTTATGGAATACGAAAAAATGTAGCTTAGAAGATAGATTTGAAATAGAATCAGGACTAGATGAGAGCCATGTTTACTTGGAGGCAGTAATTAATAAGTAAGCAAGGTGTCTTGAACAGCGCCGTTCAAATTCTTCCTGAACAGTTGGTCGACCCTTCCTTCGAATGGCATTTTTGGACTCGCAATTCAACAAGGCCAGTTTATCCCAAATAAAGGTAAGCAAATATACACATTTTGACTTTTTTCTTGACAGGACTTCCTGCTATTTTTGTATTTATTATCCTTGATCAGAGCCTCTCTTGTACCACCAGGTAAATTGCTTGTATTGAATTGATCAAAGTGACAAAACCAAAGAGAAACAAGTGGCCAATTTTCTTTCCCAATTATCCTCGATAATCTTTGAAAATACCATATGACTCAATGTAAATATTAGAGGAACAGCAGAAATTAAGTCGAATTTTGCGCGCTATCCAAACTTTTCTCGGTAAGATTTCCATTTGCTTGGACGCGTCCTGAAAGTACTCATAACCGTTGTGTCACGTGGATGAACTTTCGATGAATACAAATGTGAAGACATTTTCTCTACTGGCAGAAAAATTCCTACTTTAATTTTTAGCCGACTTTTAGAGCGATCGACATTAGAAGGCGAAGTTTCTTAACAGAGGTTATTTGTTTGTCCTCTGCCATTTGAAGGACACTTTGTACCAATTTTTCTGTGTCAACATGATTTGATTTCGGGTTAAAATGTTCTGACCTCACTTATTCGTAACTGCCACAAAGAGTTTGTCT